GTTATTATCAATGGTAGTAAGGCACATTGTTGTGAGTTTATAAATACACTAACTGACAATACAGAAAGTATATCTATGATAGTCATAATTGATAATAAACAATCCGTGACTGCGACATTGATATCATATAAACCATTTAGCTACCTGTATTTGTAATCATATCATCATGTGTATTATACATGTATATTAACTCAAAAATTTGAAACTTTAAATGTTTATATCTAATAAACTAATAAAGTTATATTAAAAATTCAAATGCCATTTACTATTTAATTAAAAATCCAAACATTTTATTATATTCAAAATATGTGTTCCCATTTAAAAGACAAAAAGACAAAGTTGACACCCTTACAAGGCATAAGGGATGAACATAAAAAGTTTTAAATAGTTAATAATTTAAGAATAATGTGTAACTAAAGAAAACCAAAAATAATGTTTAAATTATATTTATTCTACAAGTAAATGAGTGGGTTATGATAAAAAAATCAGTCTGTATACTGTATACTAGATAGCTTATTGTTTTTTTATGACATTGCTGTCGTAGTCAAGAGTTGTTTATTATTAATTATGACTATCAATGAATATCCTTTCTGTATTATCAGTTAGTGTATTTATAAATTCACAACAATGTGCCTACTACCATTTATAATAACAATGCTGTGTACCTTCTAATATCGATATCATAAAAAATTAATTAGCTGCCTGTATTTGTAATCTCTTGTGTATCATACATAAATATTAACTCAAAAATTAGAAACTTTTAATGTTTATATCTAATAAACTAATAAAGTTATATTAAAAATTCAAATGCCATTTTCTATTACATTAAAATCTCAAACATTTTATTAAATTCAAAATATGTGTTCCCATTATAAAAACTAAGTCGACAACCTTGGGTTGGGTTTGGTTTGGTTGGGTTGGGTCGGGTTTATTATTAATTATGACTATCAATAAATATCCTTTCCGTATTATCAGTTATCAGGATATAAATAGGATATAGGAGTTTATTTTGCTTTTGGAATAATCCACTAATTTCTTTAAATTAAACACTATCTACTGATTTCCATTGAAGCGTTTCTTTCGATAGTGATTTAGATCATTGTCAGATATCGTTTACACTGCACCTCGACCCCACTTTGTTATCGTTTTTTATTTCTAATCCACATCTATTACGGTAATGATTTATTAATTCTAATTTAAGAAACTTCTTTTGAGTAAAATTCATTGACTTAGAAAAATAATATTATTATTGTTTTACTTATATAACTTGTAGTAATCTGGTAAATTAAATGAAAAAAATACACTAACTTCAGTCAGACGTATTTTCATCTAGTTCTGCATCAGTTTGTTTAAAACTTTACTATAATCACCTAATACCATAATTATAAAACAAAAATTGATCACTCGTGGCTAATATTACTAAAATTAAAAATTTATTTAAAATATTAATTTAAAATTAAAATATATAAAAAAATATATAACTCAAAAAGCTCCAAAAATTATTAAAATAAAATTGCTTTTACGTATTTTGGAAACAATATTATTATTATAAGCGTTTAACACATACTGACACTCTAATGAAAAATACTCTCTTATATACTCATAGTGATGTTATCACCTAATCAATTATCACATTCTGTCAGTTTATACAAGTTTAATAATGAATTTTGCACTGGGGCAAGATTCCAATTAGATAAATTATTCTTATTTTAAAAATGTCTATTGCCTCTCTTATATGAAGTTCTTATTAAAGTAAGACAATTTTAATACAGTATACTGAAGATTTCTTTTGTATTGTTTATGTAAATATTTAATGAAGACCTTAAGTACAGTAAGGGTTTAATAGAGACCACTCAGTATATAAAATATATTTTTGAATCCAATTTTAAAAAATAATCCAGAAGTTTTGTCAAATTTTAACCTATATCAAATAAAAATTTTTGAAATCTTAAACATCAAAAAAAATTTCTGTTCAGCGATTGTTTTACTATAGAAAATTGGCCGAAGTAAATAATTTAACAAGCTTTGTATAATTGAGTGAAATTTTAACCATAGAAATGTAAAATTCCTAGTATATAAATTGTGAAATTTAAAAGATAATCATTGAATGGTTTTTATGATAGTGATGTTAATCAATATGAGATCTCATTTCTACTCTTTAGATACATACGTAAAATATCTTTATGTTCTGCCTTTATCAGTACCTCACCTAAACTATGTATAAATTATTTAGTACATTATATTGAAGACTATTTTATTATCATATTTTATACTGTAAAAGTATTTCGTACTTGCTTTTATTTAATTAATAATATAATGTAGCCAAATAAAAATGTATAATATATATAAATCATTGATTTAAAAAAAAACTTTTTTGAAATGCAAGAACACGAGGATAAGGATTTCAAGTTGTGGGCTCTGTTTGTCCTACTATACCGCACCCCTATAATGCTAAATAATTGTTTTTTATTCAATAATATAAAAATTAACAGGCGCCGATAACATCAAATGATTGATTTCTGAATGAGATAAAAAATAATTTTATCAAAAAATGCCATTCTTGATTTCATTATTTTACCCATAATGAATTTAACAAAGACGCTACAAACATTACATGGGTTATTTTTGAATGAATTTAGAGAAAAAACTTTTAATTTTCTGTCGAGTATTGATTAATAAGATATATGTTTACTTTATTAATAAAATAGAATTACACTTAAAGATTTTGAATGACCCTTAAAAGGTAACTATGCTTGAATTTATTTGTCATTACTCATTATAAAAGTATTTCAAGTTGTATTTGCAATAAATAATTCTTGTTTCTGTAAATGACATTGACTGCAAACAAAATGTCGAACATTAACAGTTGAATTAATTTGAGAAATTGTTGTACGCAGCGGAGTATATTTTTAAAATAAAGGATAATGTTCGAAATACGTAAAAACAAAATACTCCGAAGACAATTAAATAATATGAGGATTAAAAGTAAACCTATTCAAAAATCAACAAGTATCGCTGATTATTTATGTGAATTTTCGTCAATCACCACTTTGCATGGGATAGTTTATTTAGGAGAACCTAAAAGACCATTCTTTGAGAGGTTAGTATTGAGTAATTAGCACAAAAAAATTAATTAAACTTTATCACTTTATAATACATTATATAGTTTTAGCTCTACAATAAATATAATGTTTGGGTAACAGTTATTAAAAAAGAATTCTTTGAAATATATTTTTAATACATAATTAAATAGTTTTAGAGAAATATATTTAAATACAAATACAAATACTTTTCAAAAGTATTTCAAATTTGTTGAAATATTTTTATTTTTGATACAAAGCAGAATTTATATAAAATATATACATATAAATATAAATATAAAATTACTATAAAAAAAAAAAATTGATTAAAAAAATAGTTTTCAACTCAATATTAGTTTAAGTATCGCAAAAAATATCGAAAACTTTTAATTATATTACAGTGGTGTCGAACCTATGGGTCGCGTACCAGAGGTGCCACGATGGTTAAATTTCAATGGCATGCAAAAAAATTATGCTATTTATAAAATTTTGGTTATAAGAAATTCAAAGAATCAAATTATGTTCAAAAATTATAATATTTCCTATGTAAAATGTATTATGTTAATATATTGTTATTATAATTATTATGTACTATTTATTATTTACGACTTCAATATTATGATTATTTAACTTATTCCTATCGATTTGTTAAGTTTTAAGTTTAAAACCAGCGGTCGTTATACATGATTTCTTTGGCGATAACATATACACACACGTTTAAACCGACCGTCGGACGGACGACATGATGACAGACCTAATTAGTCACATGACGTCAACCAGTGTGTGTATTCGTCGCCACGCCGTTCACAGCTTTTCAAAATTGTTCAAAAAAGATGGCGTATTCAAAAAAATGAAATTTTATGGATCAGATCGTGATTTTCAAGAATGGTGGACACACAAGTATGGTATGATATTAATAAACAACAAAGTCTTATGTGTACTATGTTCTCAAAGTGTTGTATGTTATACTTCATCTGTCAAACGCCATTTTGAAACTATTCATAAAACACTTTTTACAAAATCTACCGATGAACAAAATAGTCATATTGCACGTGCATTATGTAATAAAAAATTACAAAGTAACACATTAGTTAAATTTAATTTAGATTTATCTAAAATTGTATTGGTAACTGCAGATGGTGCTCTGAGTATGATTGGAAAAGATTTTGGTTTTGTTACGCTTTTTTCAAAAAAAAATTGGCCTACCCTTAATTGGTTTTCATTGTATTATTCATCAAGAAGCGCTGTGTGCTTAAGACGGATTGATTCAGTATGAAAATATTTTAAAGATTGTAACAAAAATCGTCAACTTTATAAATGTACGTGCATTAAACAAAAGACAGTTTAGTTTATTGTTAGAAGAAATAAATTCTATGCATAAAGAACTAGTAATGTACAATAATGTTCGCTGGCTTTCTAGATAGAGGTCATCTGTTGGAACGATTTGTTGAATGCTTACACGAAATTCGATTACTTTTTAGCGAAAATCACGATAATTACATAGAATTAACTGATTTAAATTGGTTCTGCAATCTAATGTTTTTTACTGACTTTTGTTTACATTTAAATGAACTAAATTTAAAATTACATGGTACTGATAAAAGCTTAGATTTCATCTTTACTTTAATAAAAGGATTTAAAGTAGAATTAAATGTATTTATATGTGATATAGAAAATAATAAATTTATGTATTTTAAATATTTAAAAAAATTCTTAAGTGAAATTGAAATTAATGAGACTTTAAAATAACATAAATATCTTTTTAAGTACTATAAGACACACAATTCAACAGTTCAAAGAAAGGTTTAATGATTTTAAACAATTTGAATGTAATATTAAGATTTTAAAATTCCCTGATGCATGTAATATCAATGATTATATCTAATTAGATTTACATTATTTTGAATGGATAAATATTGATTCATTTGAATTTGAGTTGATCGATTTTCAATCTTACATACACTTTAAAACAAAAATTTATTGATGCAAGACAACTATTGGAACAAATAGAAATTAATTGTTTCGAAGGAAACAAAATTAAAAATGCAGACAACGAAATTTTGAAAGCCTGGAATTTCCTTCTAGACACGTTTTATACATTGAAAAAAGTAGCCCATTCAATGCTTTCAATTTTTTTTGTCAACTTATGCTTGTGAAAGTTTATTTTCTATAATGAATTTAATCAAATCGAAAGAAAGAAATGCTTTGACTGATGAAACCAGCACTGCTTGTGTTTCACTAAAACAGCGGCTCTCAACCTTGTGGTACGCGTACCAGTAGTGGTATGCGGAAAGCTCATAGGTGGTACGCGAAGAAAATCTACCTTTATAAAGAAAAATTGGAATGAATCATTATTAATATTAAATATTATTTGGTTTATTTGATGGTGTGGAAGTACTTTGTAATCGTAGCAATTAAGATAACGATATTCTCTTTAATATAATACAAATCGATAAACTTTATCGGATAAAGCGTATTTCTAATTCAAAATAATGGGTCTTTACCTTAGTTTCGTGAGTTCCTTCAGTTTATTCACGAGTGTCATACGAGTTGTTTGCATCAAGTATATTTTATATTAAAATTTTATATTTTTATGTAGTTTTTTCGTACTTTTATGTGATATAAAATTAAGTAAAATGAAAAAAATTTTAGAAAGCGAAAGCTCAAATACTAAAAAATAGAAGACACAGGCGAATCGCAAATATAACAATAGTTATTTACGATTTGGATTCGTTGTAAAATTTGGTTCTGAAAATTCTATTACGTTACCTCAATGTGTAATTAGTCAATAAACACTTTCGAATCAAAGCATGTAGCCATCTATACTTAAGCGCCACCAATTATCGAAGCATCCAGAAACAGAAAATAAACCTATTGAATTTTTTTAGAGAAAAGTTATCATTTTCCGGAAGGAATCGAAATGCATGTCTAGTTTTACGAACTTAAATGAAAATATCGTTAAAGCATCTTATTTAGCGAGTTTAATTATTGCTAAAAATGGAAAACCACACACAATTGGGGAAACACTAGTGTTGCCAGCAGCAAAAGAAATCGTGCGATGAGTTCTTGGAGAAAAGGCTACAAAAGAGATAAAAAAAGTGTCACTTTCAAACGATACAGTCAAAAGAACCATTGATGACATGTCGTCGAATATAAAAAATAAATTATTGCTTTAATGAAAGATTGTAATTTCTTTGCTATATAAATTGATGAGAGTACTGATATTGCTAACATGGCTCAATTAATGGTACTTATACGTTTCGATCGCAATGATGAAATTATTGAAGAGTTTTTGTTTTGTAAGCCTTTATAAACCCAAACAACATCTGAAATTATTTTTATAACCATTAATGAATATTTGATTGAAATAGATCTGCCGTGGAGTAAATGTGTGGGTTTTTGTTCTGATGGAGCAAGGGCAATGACTGGATGACTGACCAGAGTTGCAACAAGAATAAAAAAAGTTGCCCCATTATGTAAAACTATGCATTGCATGATTCACCGGCAAGCGTTAGCATCCAAAAACATTTAAACTAGAAGTTTAAAATTAGTTCTTGATATGCTGTAAAAATCGTAAATCTAATCAAATCCAGACCTCTAAATTCAAAACTATTCACAGTATTATTTAACGTAATGGACAGTACTCATAAATCCCTTCTTCTCCACAACGAGGTAAGGTAGCTTTCACGAGGAAAAGTCCTCACCAGGCTATTGGAGCTAAAGTCAGAAGTTTTATTACTTCTGACTGATATTGATGAAGAAAAGTTCAAATTGTTTTGTGATGACGAATGGCTGTCAAGACTAGCTTACATGGCTGACATATTTGACCGTTTAAATATTTTAAATTTAAGTCTGCATAGATCAAACACAAACATATTTTATGCTAGTGATAAAGTTAATGCCTTTGTAACTTTTAGTGACTAAAAGTTACAAAATACACTCATAACGTCAAAACTTTATCTGCTAAGAAACAACAAAAAAAATCACACTACATTACAATCATTATTCTTATACATAAATTAAATGTATTTAACAACAATTTTAAGAATATTAAATTCAATAAAATATATTTTATTAGATCACAAAAGTATGTGTACCTCCTAAATAAAAAATTTAAAAACCTGAATCTTTATTTTTATTTTTAGAAAATTTAATTTCCATTGGGCACGTGAAAAATTTTCAAAGTTACATTATATAATACTGCTTTATTACTACTATATTACCATTATCACTCAGAAATAACTTGGATTCAATGTTACCTATTTTATTAATTTTTTAAAGAGTAAATTTGTGATTTTCGAAAAATTAAGCGAGGAGGGTTTACCTAGATATTTAGAAAACTATGAATAACTAAATCAACTAGTTTTAAAAAGTACATTTGTTCTATTAGCTCCCAAAACGTATCGAAATGTTTATGCTTTCAAAAAAATACAGTTATTCAAATANCTCTTCTCTAGTCACTCATCTCATCTATCTAAGAATTCTCATCTATGCTCTACTTTCTTATCAACCTTCCAACACTCTGAACCATACATCATAGATGGTCTCACTATAGTCTTGTAGAATTTACCTTTTAGTCTCATTGGAATTCTTTTATCGCATATGATGCCAGACGCTTCTGTCCACTTGATCCACCTTTATTTTCCTGTGTCTACATCCTCGTCAATATCACCACTCTTTTGCACAACTGACTCTAAATACTTAAAACTCTCCACCTCTCCAATAACGTCTTCGCATATTGTCACTGACCTACTCATTTCACCTACCTCGTGTTTTCCTTTGTCAAACTCATACTCTATATACTCTGTCTTACTTCTAATTATTCTTAAACCCTTTTCTTCAAGAGCTGATCTCCA